AAATAATTAATTAACATCTCTCATTACTTATTTTCATTTATTAATTTTGTATTAGTTGCTATTTAAATCTTTTAATAAAAAAAGTAAAGTCGGGTCCATTTCCGGCTAAATTGGAAGTGCAAACAATTTAAAACGTTAGTATTAAATTTTCTCATGTAAACCATAAAAATTCGCTTGTTAAATGACCCATACAAGTAGAGATTTTTTCCGCACCTGTGTAATAAGTTTTTGAAATGACTTCATCAATTTTTTATTTGATAGGCTAATTAAAACAGAATTCCACGAAAATTTGATAACCTGTTTATGACAATCAACAAAATAAATTGATTCGTACCACAATTTTCAGTGACATGCTGTGTAAACGATTTTAAGAAACAAAAGACTATTACAGCCGCACAAACAAGATATACAGCATTTTACTACGTATGTTTGAGTAAATAAATATTTATAATTTTTTAGACAATGTCTTCAACTTTCCGGGAAGGATAAATAAATAACTTTATTTTTCTACTATTTCATTTTATAAATTTCGGAGAAATTACTGTGTCCGCTTCTGCTATAATCCATAGAATAATAGACTCAAAAACATTTTTTTAAGAGATAAAAACAAGCAACATCGTATTTCAAAATATACTTTTCATGAAAAGAAAACGAATAGAAAAATTTTAGTCACACGTTTGTTGTAGCAAATCCGTACAATAGGGTTAAACATACAGGGGATTGTTAATTAAATCATAGGAGCATGTCACGTTGCACATTTTCAAATAAGATTCACTCTATAATACTTGCATCAATTTTGAAAAAAAGCGTATTATAATTTTCAAAAATAATTCCAAAGTACGGTTAGGTTTAGTTAGTTTTGTTCCCTAAACTCTATTCCATAATATAGGTACATGATTTTAATAAACAACGATAATGTTTTAGTAACTGACCATGAATTCCACTTAATCAGAATACTTGGAACAACTTAAAGCATAAAATTCAAGAACAATAATGTTAACATGTTTTGCCAAGTTAACATAATAATTATGTGTGTAGAAAATAAGTGCACATACAATGTAAAATCCATTGTTTTAGAAAATAAGGATAATTAATAATTTTATTGCCACGGTAAATAACTATAGAAAACTTGGTAATGAATTTTCTTTGACATTTCGGAGAATAAAATTATTTCGGTTTTTGTTTTATTCTTAAGATTAGCATATGAACTGTAAAAATCTAACCGGTATTTGTCTATTTATATCATCAAAAAATTGATAAGCTTAAACTACTGTCAAGTAAATAACTTTAAATGCCTTTTTACGTCTGGTTTAAGTTACCTTTATTTTGTAAAATAACAACGTGTCATAAAAACTTATCTCGGATCAAATTAATTTACAATTTCTGTAATAGAATACACTGCAGACTATCTCTGAAATTTAATGCTAAAGAATTATGTTGACAACACCAACGCGTTCTATTGTTCATGTTAATCGTTTCACATTCGCGGTCAAATAACTGCCAAATAAAGTGTCAAATAACTGCAATACTAACATCATTATTTTAAAAATAAATTTAATGGCTTATTTTAGGATCATTTGGTATTTTGGTAAAACAATAACATAGATTTAGAGGAAATTAACCAAAATTTACTAAGTTCTCCATATAAATTGGATGAAATTAAAACAAACAACAAATAAGTATTTATCCTCATCGAAAACGTTATTCCAAAAAATTAAATAAAATAAAACATTTGATCTGAGGTGCTATCACATACGACTTATTGTCAAAATAATATGACCCTTTTATTTTATCAGTTATCTCGAAAATGGTACACTTAATTTCCAGGAATTCCTGAGAACTCAATTTAATAAACGTAAAAAAAAAATTGGGCTCCGTTTATTTGGATAGAACTTCCAAGAAATCCTGCTTTTTCGAAAAATTATAAGATTTGATTTTGCGAATTTTTCTCCTATAAGTTACAATAAAGACACGTATATGATGTTAAAGTAAAGGTAAAGAAGGGTGCTACGCATACATTTCAAGTGGGTTTTTCCATTACAAAATTTTGTGATGACGCAATTCACATTTTTGCAAGGACAATTTGAATAGATGCAATTTGATTCTAATAATAACAGTACTGTAGTGCTAAATTTTCGAAAACATTGGGCAACTCGTTCTTGATTTAATCAGTACAATAGAGTGTCTCATTCATGATTTTTTTTAAGTCACCCTGTATGAGCAGTTCTAAAAAATATTAATGCATTCATAAACCACCAGTTTAGATTCATAATATTTTACATATTATAGATAGGCTTTATTCGACAAAATTTTAAGATGACGTTATAAATTTTTTGGAAGGGGATGGACGAATAAATTTTGATTAACGGTTTATAATGTTACAATACAAGATTGTATACTTTTCGGTTCAACAGTTTCGAAATTAAATTGTAAAGTATTATTATACAAATTTGATTTTTTTTCCAAAAATCTAGCTGTTTAGGAGAAAAACTCAACACGGATTCATAAATCACAGTTGCAGGAGTATCTTATTGTATTAAATTTAAATAACGTTTACTGACGTCATCCTATTGTTGGCGGGGATGTAAGTTCCAGAAAATATGAAAGTAGCCTTCCGGTGGATGGGCCCTTGTACAATACTTCCTTAACTTACACTGGGGAAGTAAAATAGGTCTAAGGTATTAGATAGAAGTTCCCTCGTCTAGGGGTGCAGCTCAACAAATATAGGTATTTCGAAATTTTATAAAATTGAATTTAGCTATGTTTTTATAACCTCTAAAAGTAAATAAAAATAAAATAACTGTGGACTGAAAGTACAGAATTATGCTATGCGCATGTTTCAAAATGCATAAAAAACGACGTCGATCGTTTATAAAGTACCGCGTTCGTATCTTTATGAAATAAAAAAAAATGTATGTTTAGGGTAACAAATAAAGAGAGATTCATAAAACACAAGTATAAAAGTACGGTCGTGGACAGTGAATTTCGTCCACCCAATTTCTTTGACAGAAAAAAACTCTAAATTAGCCTTTAGATCTTTCTAACCTTTTTTTGTCATTTTGACATAAAGGGGCAAACATTTTTTTATACGATAACTAACACTAGTCCGCGATAAGCCCAAAAGTGTAGCGACATCCCGTCTTGGAAAAGGGATATTAGTTTACCTTCATTAAAATAACTAATCGATGGCAGGTTCGAAGCTAAATTAAATTTGACAATACTTACGTCAGTCATCATGACAATAAAGCACTGACTACAGTGAATTTTTGTGAATTCGCGTGAATTGTGTGGACGAAATTCACTGTCCGCGACTGTACATACATATATTATTTTATGAAATTTAAATAAAATTTATTACGTAAAATTTTGAGGTGACAGCATTGACTTGTTGATAGAGATTATTAGACAAATTTTGGACAGCGTTTTACTACAGCGTAAAAAAAGTGACCCATGAGAGGATTGAATCCGCGATCTTCGCGTTATTACCGCCACGCTTCACCTCCTAGCTCATTAGATCTGCAAAATGTTAATATGCAATTTTGATTTTTTCCCAATAATCTGTATGTAAAAAATTGAGAAGAATTCATATGACACAAGTGTAGCAGTATGTTATTTTATAAAATTTATATGGCATTTACTATGCAACATTTTGAAGTGACGTCATCATATTGTTGGTGGAGATGATTGGGCAAATTTTGGTTAGCTTTTTATCATCTACACAATATTCGCAAAATACATATACAATTATAGACAGCAATCGGTCCAGTAATTTAGGAAAAATTGATGAACAGGTGGAAACGCGAGCCCTAATTTTTTTGTATTCAAGGAGTTATGAAATGTTGAGAGAACATGAAAGTAGCTATTCGTTCGATGATCCTATTATCTTAGCTTATGCTGGGGAAGTAAAAATGTACATTAATTCAAATAAACAGATTTGCAAAAGTGTTATTATCAGATTTCGGCATTGTAGAAGTGATGCTCATTGCCGTCCGATCTCTAGCGCTATTGCAGTCGTGGCCTACAACTTCGGGAATTGTTAATAACAATTACTACTTTTTCTAAGTTTTCCTCAGTTATATACGAGTTCTTCTAAATGTTAAAATGCTTTAAAAATTAAAAATGACTGTTCAACATCACAATTTTCGTGATGATTTTGATCAGATAAACCCTGAATTGCATCAAACGCCACTGAAGTCGCACAGTCGGCCAACCAAATTTATCGCCTGACGTCGCGCCGTCGTTTTTAGTATTTGTCTAATTGATTCACCATCACTTCGGCTGTGCCTAACTCTGGTTATTATCTCAGATGTTTATGTTCCAATAATAGTGTATTGTTGTTATAATTATATACCAAGCAACTCGTTTGGTATGGAGAATTTACTTAATCGATTATTTTTTCAAAGAATATTAAAACATAAGTAATAACAACAATATCAATGTATAGAGCAACGTTTCAATCACTTTCATCCAAAATTAATATTTAGCCCCGAAATGGCGGTGACAATACGACAAAAGATGGAAAGAAAATGTGTATGCAAGGGCTTGCAGTATGGTTCTGAACCCACAGCATTAATTTTCGCTTTATAATTCAACTGTCTCGTCGTTTAAAGGCCAGTGTTTGCTGTTGAAGGTTTCATGTCACAAAATTACTGTGCTGAGCAGAATGCCAACTTTCTGTAGTGGAGTGAAAATACGTTGAGAAGAATAGGTTAAAAAATGACTGAGTAGGCGTAACGACATTCGGAGAAGTCCATTTACGAATTTAGAGAGAGTAAACTATGCTGCTATTTTGCGAATACTAGGTCAAGCCTTATTAACACATTTTGAATACTCAACATAGTTTTTCATAGAATTTCTGCCATAATTAACACAGTCTGTACACTTCTTACCTCACTTTGTAGGAACAAGGTGCGCACGTGATTAGTCTATCTGTTCGATGTTCTAAGTATAGTAGTTTAATGAATGATACAAATATCGTACATTATGTTTCATTTTCTTACCTTAAGGTCGAATCCAGTCTCAGCCATGCGTTACTCCTTATAAGTCTATCCGATTGTGCTACTAAGCACTGTTCTAATTGCACTTTAATTTTGTATAATAAATCATTAAAAGGTCTACTCCAATTTTGTTCGAGCATCTTGCAGCACCTCGCGTAACTCCTACAAGCTTGTTCCACACTCAAATTCCCTGCAGCAGACAACAACTGATCTTCCACTTGTCCAACACTCCAGCCTAAGCCGGCATCCAGCGCTAAAAACGACGGCGATGCTAACACTGCAGCGAAGTGTTGCCTATGATAGAGATGACAAGCGTCGGAAAGTTGCAACACCAGTTGAGTTACCGGCTCTGCCCACCTAAGCGCTGGTAAAGTAGCTAAAACTTTGTCGCAACTTACTATAGTTTCTAAAACTTTGTCTGCAGTCATGTGAACCACATGTTGTTGGTAACATTTTTCGCGTAATTCACGTGGCAAACTGGCAAATGCTCGACTTGGCCAAACTCTAACAAAGTGTTGAGTTATCCACTGTAAGCACTTTTGGTATAAATCGTCCAAACCATACGCTGCGGATAATGGCAGAACTTCTAACACGCCAGTACAACAACCAGCGCATGGCTTGTGAAAACTGTGGCAATGACGTTGCTTTAATGCGTGTTCGACTACTTCTTTTAGTCCTTCTAAACCTAACATGTCTGCTAGTGAGGCGAGTTCCACCAGGCTGATGGAGTCGGGTACGTGGGCCGCACCACTATAGATGTGACAGAGAGCGAAGTAAACAGATTCGTATGAAAAACCCTGCAAAAAAAACACAGATGCTTTGATTGCTAAACGACAAAAATCAGTTGGAAATTACGATGGTTGGTGAAATTTGTCATGCTGTCTTTTATTCTTACTTGGTTCACGCGCAACAAATTTTGCTTCGGCTCATAAAATTGGCCGAAGGTTGTTTCGACAGAACTTCATTCGAACACAAAGTAGAGTTGAAGAAAAGAGCTTCGAAAAATGATAAAATTTTAGTTTGAGAATTCTATTTTTTTTATGATGCCTCCTATTAGCTAAAATTAATACATTAATACATGTGTGGGTTCTTAAAGTACATTTCTAGTGAGTTTTTCCATAATTTTTTTTGATGACGACATCATCATTTTAGCAAGGAACCATCAATTTGAGTAGGTGCAGTGTAATAGTATTAACAACTGTACTGTATCCTCAAATTTTCGGAAAAATGAGTCGGCAACAAAACATGTCGCCTCATTCATTAATTTATTTGACCCACCTTGTATAAGAAATTCTAAAAATATGAATGCATTGATAAACCACAAATATAGACTCCTAATATTATACATACTTCAGATTTCTTCGGAAAATTTTGAAAAGACGTCATCAACTTTTTTCGAGAGGGGATAAAAAACAGAGATTTCTTAGTAACTAGTTACTAAGAAATCTCTGATAAAAACAGATAAATTTTGATTAACAATTTACTATGGTTACAATAATCGTAAAATATTTACAAGATTTCAGAGGATTCGGTTATGTAATTTCAAAATTAAATTATAAAATGTCGTTATACAATTTTAATTTTTTTTCCAAAAATCTGGACGGCTGGAGTAAAAACTTAATATGCATTCATAAACTACAAGTGGAGGAGTATGTTATTTTATAAAATTTAATAACATTTACTATTATAAAAGTTGAGGATAACATCATATTATTGCTGGTGTGGATGATTAGAGAAATTTTGGTCAGCTTTTTACCATCTTTTCCTATTATACATACAAAATTTGACAATAATCGTTCCAGCAGTTTCGGAGATTATCTGAGGATGATGGATGGCAGATAGACAGACGGAAACGAAAGACCTATTTTTTCGTACTCTTGGTATCATAAAACATGAAGAAAACCTGAAGGTAGTCAGTCGCTCGATGTTCTCAATTACGATACTTCCTTGGCTTACGCTCAGGAGGTAAAAAAATAAATAAGGGTTATATTTATTTGTTGAATGTAGATTATTTTAGCAACAATAAATTATAAAAAAAATTATAATGGGTGATTATGTAGCAATTCCCTAAACTGAAAGTAGTGTCTTAGATTACCTAAATATATACAATCTTATTTATCAACAATTGTCGATTTTATACTTTGAAATTATCGTTCAAAATTTGATTTATTTCCCGACTATATTCTGCAGCTTATCTTCCCACCGCACAATTATGTTGCATGAGAAAGCAAGACGAGATCGAAAACACATCTTTCAGTTGGTCGGAGTGGATATCAAGCTATTTTCGTTTATTTACAAACTATGTCCTTCGATTTTTAGTCTGATCTTTGAGAAACGATTATTGTCTTTGGATTTCTACCACAAAGGAAAAATTTGGTGTTAAGGGGTGTTTCTACGTCTGGAATTTCGAAATTTTGTCATTATATAATTATATTTAGAATATGCGTATATCAAATTATTAATAAAAAAAAATATATCGCATGTATTCTAACGTGTTGTTCTGAAACCTTATCCACAGTAACATTTATTAAAAAGTTGGTCTAAAGTTACTTAAACAGAAGTTCCCTCGCCTCTGAGATAAAATCCAACCAATTCACCAGCGATAAAATTTTATTTAAGCTAAAAATACACATGTTTAGTTAATATCAATCACAGTGTAGGGAAAAAAATAAGGGAATCGAATCCTCGCTATTAGCACGACGTTTCACAAACTGAGCTAACGTTATTATACAATCTGGATTTTTTGCGAAGATCTGGATGGCTGTGGTAACCGATCAAGACAGATTCATAAACCACAATTCAGGAGTATGTTACAATATAAAATTTAAATCGCATTTACCCAACAAAATTTTGAGGTGACATCATCAAATTGTTAGATAGATATTATGTTGATTAACGTTTTACCATTTACACGATATTACTAAAATACATTTAAAATTTAATAACAATAGGTCCGGTAGTTTAGGAGATCATGTGTTTAATAAAAATCGACACAGACAGCAGACCTCAGATAGATAGGCGGACGTAAATGGGGATACCGATTTTTTCCCTCGATGGATCCAGAATTTCAAGTTTTTTGTTGTTGTAAAAGAAAGGCAACATTTTTAAACTCAATACCAATCTTAGTTCAAGAGTTTGAATACATTTCACATTTTATAAATGTTTTAGCTGGGAAAGTGTGTATACAATTGATTGTTCTTCTCATATTAACATCCTAAACATAATATATGGGATTTTTTTCTTCTGCTATATTTTTTGAAGAGTTTTATTTTTTACACGCCAGTCGATATATTTTACAGTTTGTATTAGAAAATATTTTACTAAGTGGGCATGCAGCTACTGATATTTTAAGGTTGGTGAAAGCTATTTAATTATTACTACTGATTTTATTACTGATCAGTAACTTGTATACCAACTTCAGTAATTTTATTATTCTAATATGCAAATTTTCCGCTTTATAGAAAAATCACTGCTGACTGCTGATAATAAATGTGAAATCTCCACACCAAAACAGAATGCCGTCAATAAACACAAAAGAATTACTATCAATTCCAACCACTTGTAAAGCTCTTGTTTTCTATGTAACCTCATTTACTCAGACAATCAAATCGTGTAATAAATAGAACGTCATTACAAAGAATATTTCGACTACATTTTGTGCGATAACTATGATGTGTAATCGATCTTCGTTGACATTCAGTTAGAATACAAAATTTCAGTTTCCTACTTCCTACCATTTGTACGTCTGCCGTCTGGTAGACTATTTGACAAGTAATCTCCGAAACTATTGAAATGATTAATGTAAAAGTTTACGCATATTTTAAAAATATCGCGTCGATTGGAAAGTACTAACAAAAGTTTTCTCTCAAATTTTTTTTGAAACTTTGACAAGACACAAATTAAAATTTATTTATACATTTATATTCATCTCATTCTGACAGTCAATAACAATGTTTGTTAAAAATATGCTTCAAGGTGCAGTGTCATTAATGAAGTAAACGATTTCGATGATTAATCATAATCATTGTATACTTTTAAAGATTCATTCATCAGAATAATGACGCTTTGACAATGACTTCCACTTAGTCGCACAGTCCTAGCAGTTAACTTGTTTGATTGGACTAATTCCCCTAACGGCAGGCAGCATAATGAACTTTAGCGAATTTAACGCTCGACGTAAAACACAAAAACAACGTGACTTTAACATAATCTTGTATGGGGCTTTTTGGTTGATAAAGGACAGTAATTGTACAGACACAAAGTGATGTTACTATATGAACGAGAGCTTTTTGAACGACTCTCGTAATTGTGTTTAATAATATATGTCTCATTTCATCTGCATACACTCTATATACGCTGGCAAGTAAAACGTCAAATGAGATTCGTCCCTAGCCATGTAATTTACTGTAATACAGCAAATCGATTTATGTTTTGTGTTACTGATATGAGCAACCATAAAATTGTAGACGTTAATACTATGCAATTTATTACATTACCGTGTATAAATTTTATCTATGTACTTTTTTTTACCTGTAAGTGCACTTTACAGTTACTTACTTTAAATTAGTTTGGTACTTATATCGGAAAATTTAACCAAAAATCTCAGCCGAAATAAAGTTACATAATACAAATTGATTACCACCATCCACGAATTATTAATGACACGTAATCAAAATGTGACTTACGTTATTTTAAAATAAGTCAACGGTACATTAATTTCAGCTTAATTTCCTTCCGTACAAATTGCCATTTCCAAAGCAGTTGAACAGTAGCCAGTAGTTTTTTAATATGCACTTTGTTATGAGGGCGTTAATTATATGTATGGTCACGATTTCATAAATTGAAGAATCAAAATGATGCATCAGAAAGTTAAAATATTTTATAAGACTGTAATAGTTTAAACTACACTACACTTTTTTTTCAAGTTTTTAAATCGCCCCATTATACATTCACTTTGATGTTTATTACTAAAGATTATTAAATAGGCGAAACGCTTAACAATTTTAGCCACTGAAAGTAGCTGAAGAGAATTCCAATGCGATCTAATCTTGAAAGTTGTGATTTATTTTCCTTTGGTTTTTAGAAGTGAAAAGATCTAGAGTTGATCTGAAGTGTTCTAAATATTTCGATGATTTCAATGGTTGCTACCAGATACGAAGTTTATTGTTTGAAAAATGCTAGAGATAAGTACTTCGTTCTCGAAAAACACAAATTTAGATTTTAGATTAACTCTGAAGGTACCTATTGAAAATTTTCAAATTTTGCAGATTATAAATCTACGAAAAATGAAACAAATTCACTAATCTATGTCATGCATATGTGGTTAATTGAATTTAACCTGTTTAATTTTTGCGTGCATTAATGTATTTTTTATTCATGTTCTAATTAAAAACATAAACAAGGAACTGTTGTACATCACATTAGTGAAATGTGTCAATATTGACCCTACAATTTTTATATTTGCACTTTCTTTAACACAAGTAACACATCCTGGTTAATAAACATGCAATTTTACTTTTAATTAAATAAATATTTAACTCGAACACAAGTTTGAGAAAGGTTATTGGTCTAATAAAATTTATTAAACATAATTTTTTTATGCATGAATGGCTAAACAGCAAAAGTTGTAACACTTATTTACATAAAATTTGATAACAAAGTTCTTTTTCATGATACACTATTTCCTACATGAAAAATAAATACCGGTAGTGATACTCCACCAATCATGTTATGTACTACAATTCATTTCATTTTTTAATGCAGAAACAATAATTATAAAGTGTTTAATTAAAAATAAGTGATGGGTCTTAATAAAAAAAAACTACGAGTAGGAACATGTTCTTGTTTCAAAAATAACTTTTTTTTAGAACTGTAATTTCTTGTAGCAGCGTTTAAGCAATGATGAACAGTGTGCCACGTTGTATGTAAGGTTTTTTAATCAAACAATTTTCCTTAAAGTTATGAACACATATTTTTGACCACATAAGTCTAAGTTGACTGTACTGGTGCTGTTTAAATGTGAATTCGTATTCGTAATTTATAACAGTTCTAAAGTTTGCTCAGGTGTTCTATCACATATGCCTACATAAGAAGCAAATACTTTTAAAATACCAATGACTCATTGAACCACATTTACAAAACTCTATGTGTGAGGAACATCCAGAAATTAGATTCCATTTGAGTTTGGCTCACTGTCTTTAAATAAGTTAAGTCTGGTATTTGACACGCGAACACAGAAACATCATACTCATCAGAACGATTCAGCTCATTCATTTTGTTACAAAAACGAAACATTAATATTTAGTTGATTTTTCAATAAATATAAAAATATACATTATACGACGATAACAGTTTACATTTAGCGGCAAGTTCATCAGACGGTGCGCTAACTGCTAAGTTAGACGAATTATATTATTTTATCTGTCATCTTGATAATATAATATAATGGTGTCATTTTTTCCTGTGATTGGCAACATATTAAATACCAAATTTCCGAACAAATATTAATGCCATTCTCTCTTACTTTTGTTTTTTCTTTAGAGTTAAGGACAATACGTTTAAATTCAAATCCATTAAGTAATTCTAGTGTCCGATACACCCAGTATACGAAACTCTCTCATTTCACACTACACATGAACTAACACTTATTTACCATGAGAGTGAAAGTTTGGTGTTCAATAACAACGAGTAGTTCATGTGAATTGCACACTACACCTTTTCTAAAGATACTACCAAAGCTTGGCTTTAACATTGTCTCACATAAAATGAACATTTTCCTAAACACTGGTAGGAAAAGGAGATTGTTGTATTATTCATATTCCTTGCCGAAACAACTATTAACAATGTTTCCTTTAATGATTTGTAAATAAAAGATGTGGACAAAAATACGCGTATAACGTATTTAATATATCGCCTTTACTAAGTACAACATACACTATAATTGGGATGTTATTTTTTCAAAGAACACTACTTCGTTCACTATAACCATTTGACTGAAATAATGTCTGTATTTTTTGTGCCATATATTCTTTTGTATATTTTTAGCTTCGTTTCTTGAAATCACAGAATACATCATTTTTATCGCCGCCGGCAATCGCCGGTCACCCGACCTCAAACCTCCAGTCAACAAACCCAGGGAGGTCCACAAAAAAAAGATGGAGGTTTCCTTTACCTGCCGGTTTAATTTCGTACATAACAGCAGTGGCCAAAATTATAGCAACAAACACGCATGGCTGTTGAATGTACCATTATATGTATCAACATTAAAAAGATGCTAAAAAGTATGGATATAGCTAAATATTTCCGTTAACGATTTACCAGAACTCATACAATTTAGAAAATGTGAAATTTATTTGTCCTAAGAAATGTTGTCTTTAGCTATTATTTAATTATTATTATTGCCAACTGTGCGTTGATAGAAGAATTAAATACAAGTCAATAATAATTGTAAAAATGACACATTTAACTGAAATACAAAAAAATTAAGAAGTATTGTAATACTTTTACTTGTGCACCCTGATCACCGTTTTGGAAATATTTAGCTGTATCCATACATTTTAGTAACCCTGTATATCAATTTGGACAGGTATAGTGTAATATTAATAATAATAATAATAGTATTGTATTCCCAAATTTTCAGGAAAATGGAGTGAGCCCTTCTTGATTTAACTAATAAAATAAATTGACTCATTCATTAATTTTATTGGGTCACCTCTACAAGCAATTTTGATTTTTTTTTTCCAAAAACCTGGATGTCTCGGGTAAAATTCAACACTGATTCATAAATTGCACATATAGGAATATGTTATTTTATGCAATTTAAAACCCATTTTACTATAGACAATTTTGTGGTGACGTCATCACATTGTTGGTGGGGATGATTAGACAAAGTTTGATTAGTGTTTTACAATCTGCATGATATTCATAATACTCATCCAAAATTTGACAACAATCGGTTCTGTAATTTCGGAGAATATATGTCTAAAAAAAATCGACACAGACGGCGGGCAGGCTGGCAGAGAGACGAAAACCTGATACCTATTTTTTCATACTCTAGGGGTCATAACATATCGAGAAAATATTAGTCAGTCGTCCGATGGCCTCGATTACTATAACTCATTAGCCTACGCTTGGGAAGTAAAAAGACGCATTCTTCACGTACTTATTGACTCTAAAACCAAATTAGTCAATATTTGGTCCAGTAACTCTTTGTTTCAATAACCACAGCAAGATCTGGCGTAGATCTCATTAAATTATCAATGGAAATGGAATCAATGTTTTTCCAATAATTCTACCACATTACTGTACGTTTGGCCTCTAACAGCATGATTAACATTAATCCCATATCATTTCTACTGGATTGAGGGTGAACGCATAATCTCTCTTTGCTCATCCAGAAACCAAGTCGTTACAAGGTTGGATGTGTTTCCGATCGTTATCTTGTCCAACTAAGGAACATTACGTTGTTAAAATGACAATAAACGATATTTTTAATAATATCTCTGTACATAAATCGATCTATTTAGTGTGTATTAGGCACAGTTGTCCCATTCTATATGCAAAAAAGAAGTCCCAGACCTTTATAAAACCGCCGCGCCGTCACCTTCAACCACAGTCATGTTTAACCACAACCCTGCCATAATCTTTTTTAGGTTGAACGCCGTACAGATGGTATACATAAAATCGACATTTCTTCAATCATGCGCTGATCAGTTTAGTCTTTTAGATTAAGGCGAAAAAGTAATGCAGATAATATTAATAACAGTGTAAGAAATAACGTTTGAAGTTTAAATTAGTGATAAAATGTGAGTTTTTACAATTTAAACTAGTTTTGTGTCTGCATATTTGGAATGGTTGCAGAATAGGCACATAACCTTATTTTGTTATGTATGTACACATTGAATATTAATAAGTGTTTTTACAATTTTGCGAAAAGAATACCCACAATTTGATAACTAAGAATATCTTTAAATTTTCCCCAGATGGAAAATATCATCTTGGCTTTAAAATTAATAATTAGACAGCCTAATTTTCTTATAAGAAGTTTCAAAAAATATATATTTTCATTCTCAAAAAGTATATATTTCAACCTGTTCCACTGGCAAAAAATCCGCTACAAGTTCTGAATCTCATTGTCACTATTAATATTGTTTAAATATCTAATAAGGTGAGCCCCTCTATTTAAATCAAAAAAACTCAGTGTTATTTTGAATGTTCCTCAGGGCGGTGTTCAAGTTATTTTATAATAGATCAAAGATTTTTTTACATTTCTGAAAAAGAACGTTTTAAAAACTTTGCGATTTCCAAATTTTAACAAAAATCAATTTTTAAAAAGAGTTTACATCTGGAATGTTCAATAATTGCGGATTTTTTATCTTTTATGTGGTTGTTTCAGATCCGGTAACGAACTTAAAAGTGGAAGCGGGAGGTAACTGTCCGGTGAAATTCTACGTCAAAGTGTGTATGGAGAGAACAATTTGCATTAAGCTAGCATATCTTGTATAAATTACCAGGTTCTTTTTTACAACTGCTTGCTTCAATACATGTATAATAAACTTATTTCATAAACAATCGTTATTTAGCATGTCAGGTATTTTACAAGTTATAAATAGTTGGCCCATAAAATATGTTACGATATTTACTCCGTCTCAGGTAATCAATATACATTTGTATTTTTTTCGTAACCACTCGTCCACGAATATAGAAAATAGTAAAATGTGGTAACCGACAGAACTTCACAGTTTATGAATACAAATTAATTGCTCTTAATAAATGTTCACAAAGGATCTATTTACTGTCACGCGACAACTCTCAAAACTTTTACTTTTACGAAGCATCGTGTATTGTTACCGTTACATCACGTTCTACAAAAATATCCGCTTACAAAATCGATATACCTTTATCTCCATCTCTGCTTCCTAGACTTCACCGCAAATGCATCCAATCACTCAAAATTTCCAAACGATTAAATTTTTAAATAGAAAAAGTCAAATTAACATGCTCATGTACATAAAACTACGTGTGCAGTTAATTAAAATTGCGCTAAGCATAAAGAAAATACAAACTTGCAAAGAAATAATATTTCCGGAAGCCTCCAACCAATTCCCGCTTAATAAAGCTGCGAAATATTGGCATCTCGACGCTAAAATACATTTGTGTGCTTTGAGTTTATGCCCGTCGACCTCGACGGTGACATCTGGTCCAATTTCTTCCAAAAACATCCGCAGCAGATCGGTCCCTAAGCGTCGAACCGAACGTCTTGGCTGAGAAGCACTGGTGTCAGTTGCACTGCCAGAATCGGACAGGTCTCCAGATTCGGGTTCCAGAGGGTGCGGAGCACTGCGGTAGCCTGCCGACCTTGACATCAAAAGAGGACTCTCCACCCATGAGCTTTCTGGAATGGATTTGCTCATCCGGGGGGTAAAATTTAAATCGAGTCTTGGCTTCTGGCATTCTAGATCCGATAGTTTCACGAACTGGGGCCGTTCCTGAAAAATCAATACAATACGATTACTTTTTTAGTTGAGGGTCAAAGTGATGATCATTAATGCAAAACCGCATCGTGTGGGATTCTTGATTCATGGGTCTTGTTTGTCAAGCATAGTTGTAATCACGATTCCTTGTACTTGTGGAAATTTACCATTTATTCTAGTAGGCGTTAACTAATTTGGAACATGTAAATTTTTTTAAATAGATATGACTTAAAAAATAGTGTAATGTTAAGCTTTACCAAAACGGATTTGACATGACTCAGTGTTTACTTTCGTTTTAGACTAAAGAAAATATATGCGTATTGGATGCTTCACGCACATCCATCGATATTTTGGAGGATCACCAATCGTGATGCGAATTCAGCAACAAGTACAGGCAAATGATTTAAAGTTGGAAAACTAAGCTCAATAGTCCGAACGGTATCTACATAAAAATTATTTAATAAAGATAATATATTTCCTTACTGTGGAAATAGTACAATTCTACAAGTAAAGAAAACTCACTTTTCTTTACTAGTAGAATATACTATTTTTGTACACTTGGTGGATCTGAAAGTGAAGATATTTCAGAAGCGGCAGATGAGTTTTAATTTGCTTCCCGCTAAATCACGAAACAAATATGCGAAATGTTACGAATTCTTTCGTGAATGAAGAACACGAAAAAAGTGTATACATTTTTAAAATAGATCTTACTCATTTGGTTTTTTGTAAAGTAAAAGTCTAAAAGCGTCCTCAATGTAGTGGAATTATTCAATCTTTAAGAGCACTTTACAAATATACGAAAATGTAGGATAATAAGCCAGAAAGTCAAAAGTTTTAACATCCGAACATATTTTAAAGTTTCTCCACGAAGCTTCAAATAATTCATTCTTCTTCATCAAAGTGGCTATAATTTTTGCTTTGAACGGAGAATGCCGAAGCGAAGAGTTATGTTCTCTAACAATAGATAACATTACATAATACGAAGACAATGGGGTGTTTTTACTATAAGTTCTAAAGCAGATGCAATTTAACTGTATAAAGAGTACCGTAAGTTGTAATCGAAATAGTAAATGCACAATACAGGTATCAACACAGGACATTGTTTGCGTCGAACATCGGCTACATTGCCAATCGATAAAGGTGGTAGAATTTCGCATTTAAAGAGACTTGGGGGGGGGGGGGGGGGGGGTGGTCTTCTGCAACTTCGGCCGAATGATATATCGAAGACAGTATCCCAAATAAAATTAAAACGTCAAAAAAAATTCAATGATCTGACTCCTGACTCAACAAAAGTTTCCGAGCGTTAGCATCCCCTACAGGCTTTTCGCCAACTTTGAGCGTCAACACATCGGCGACCCACTTTGTCTCTACGGATGCTTCATATGGATTAAATTCTCATAATTTAACAAACTGTTCTTCCAATATTTACCAAAATAAATTGAGATTGTGAAAGAATGTTTTTGGTTTGTGTACTCTGTTGCTAACTAGTGAAATCGCACATTAATTTATTATTTTACACATAGTACAGGGAGTGTTTCCTATCAAGTAATACACAAAAAAAACCTATTCTAGTTTGTTGTCTAGCTCTGGGAGTGTTATGGGGCGTTGCCATGCAATGTAAAATTTCAACGTTAAGCGTAACACCCTTGATGAAACTAGAACGTCTGTTTCAAAATTAAATCGATTCTGATGTATGGTTCTGGAGTTCAGCTCTAATGCGATTGTCTAAATGCAGCACCATTACCTCTAAAAAGTATAATTCTTTAATGCTTTCAATTAAAATTGTTTAATAACTTTACGTGTCATGATTCCAAGGGTATATCATTAAATAATTCAATATGCATTACACCATCATTATTATTACACGTGAACTACAATTTTTGTTGTTGTTTTTTTTTTTGTAATAAATGAATAGATTACTTAGTCATCTTATCAAGGATAGGTATGGCAGATCAGCATAATAATAAGATCTTTAATCGTACATGTGCTGAATTACATGTTAGTTAAGTTTTTTTTAAATCTATAAATAGTACAACACAGCATCGGTTCTTTAACATATCAACTTTGAGAGAATATTTTTTTAACCATCTGTTTTAAATCCTTCAAAAAAAGGGGGTTGAACACGTTTTTTATTTTTTTCTAGATCACCACTGAAATATTATAAATATTACCATTATAATCATTACAAAGACAACGGTTTCAAAAAGTTTGTATCGAGAGAAAACTACAAAGTACGATCTAAGACAGCCATGGAAGATGTGTCTTTGATAGAATTTCTGTCTTGTCAGATTTCCGTCCAGTTGAAAATTTGGGTTGAAAAGACAACGATCAAAGACAAACTTTCAAAAATCCATGGCTATCATTGATCGTCTTTTTTACTACTCTATCGGCACTTAACTATTAATCTTGAGTACACAGTAAAAGTAATAAAAACAAGAAGAAAAGGGCGAGAAGGAAATAGCTTGCATAAAAAAATTATATAACTGAAATACGAATTGGATTCCGAAAAGGAAAATGATCATGCATTCAGTCTACTTTTCGCTGGATGGTAGTGAAATAAGTAACTAAACATCCGTGGAAAACTATTAAATAAATGACAAAATATCTTAATAAGTGACAACTGTAGGGTACTCATGTGTGATGTGAGATAATAATGAGAGTATTATTGCAAGGTGTCTTTTATATCCATGAATATGACGACAATTATTGTAGAAAGTAGTAGTTAATAATTGACAATGTTATTTTATGGTTTATTCCCGTTACGAAACTTTTTCTAAAGTCTGGAACATATTAATTATGCTCGATTATTATTATTAATACGGAAATTAAATCCTCTATTAGGTTTTGCATCAATTAAGGTAATTAAAAACGACTGGCGCTAATTTATTTTAGCATATTTCAACTTTTTCTACATGACTTGACTAATATTGCATATTTGAGATTATTTATGTCTTTGCATCTATTTTTGACTAATTTTACTGATTTTATTACTATTACATTAAAAACTGAAAATTATGTCTTCTTAAAATTAAATGTGTCAAAAATATTTTTAATACCTCCACGATAAATTCAGTTATGAATATATTTATATGAAGCTTTGTTCAAGCCATACATTTTTAATTTTTTTCATTTTTTGCCTTCTCTCTCTAGTTAGCGATTTTCTTCTCCTAAATGTCTTCCATTAGTTTTCCTCCATTCCTTTCTTCGAATCGCTCTATTTTTCCTACCTTCTAATGTTCTTCACGTTATTTCTCTGATTATTTTCCTAGGCATTGTAATTTCCTCGACTTTACTACTACCTACCACATGGTATATTTATTTCCATATTAAATCTTCTTTCTCGATCTTCGTATGTTTTTTCATTCCTCGTAGTACTTGTTTTCCTTTGTATTTGTATTCTTTTTGCTCTTTTTTTTTGTCAATGTCCGTATTTCGCTCCCCACTTTATTACTGTTTTGTAAATTCTTATCTTAGTCGTCAAGATACATGCAAACCTGAATCTGATAATTTTTTGTACGACTTCTGCACATTTATTTATTCTTGTAAGTTTGAAGTATATTTCTAGTGTTTTTTCGTATTTTTTGTTTACACATGCACCTCTGTAAATAATAATAATTTTTCGTTATTGTGTTTAAGTTATTATAATCTTTATTTTTTAGTGGCAGATATTCCGTTTTCATTTTGTTGATATTTAGTTCCATTTTTATTCCTTTCTTTATGAACTCTATTCTTACTCTATTCAGTGCTTTTAATTTATTTGCGATCAAAACTTTGTGATCTCCATACGCCAAGACTAAATGGTTTCTCGTGCAGTGTTATTTATTTTATTGATTTTACTATTTCTGATAACCTCCTCTAACTACTCCAAATTCTCTGGTTTCACGATCCTCCAATCTGGCAATGCTTACTATTTGTTTTAGTGTCATGTTTACTAATTTAATTAACTTATATAAAATGTTTTCAAAACTTTCAGAATTTTTTTCTCTGTTGATTTAGTCTTGAAGTTTATCGACAGCATGTATGTTGACAAATTGTATTCGTATCGCTATGTTAACATTTTGTTTCAGCAGAAAAATCTGGTCTATCGTAGATCTACCCATCTGAAATTCGCACTGGTTAGCTCTTTGTCGTCTTATGTGGTCCCTTATTTGGTATTATGTTGGTATATCACTTTATATGTTTGATAATGGTACGTACAATCTGCAATATCTCTCTTTTTTAATAACGGTACAATAATCGTTTTTTTAGGTTTTTTGACATCTTCTTTTGTGTCCATACGTTTTTTATTAACGTCGTTATTTTTTTCCTAAATGTTGTTTCTCCATATTTTATATTTTCCGTTGTTGTTGGCTTTCTTCCAGCATTTTTATTGAACTCCGGTGTATCTGTGTCTGGTGTATTTACATTTTCTTCTATATGTTCCTCTTGTGTCGGTTGTTTTATGTTACCTCTTTGTTCATTAGACTTTCAAAGTATTGCTTCAATCTTTGAAACGTTTTTTCGTTGTACTTCGTTCGCATCTTTGGTATACACTCTTTTACGTTGATATCCTCTCTTTATTTCTTTTGTTTTTCTGTTAAATTTCTAATATTTTTTTCTTTTCTATGAGTTTTTTCCGTAAACAATTTAGATCTTAAAACTGAATTATTCTCATTGCTAGAATCTGGTGGATAAACTAAACGAAAGCACATACTGAAAGTTTGTGGAAAAATTGTATACAAATACATATTTGTTTAAGTAAAGTTGAGGGCAGAGATTTTGAAAATATTGAAAGTGAATTAAAACCGGATGTAATAAATGTTTGAAAGTATACACCAATCACATCCTTTCAAAGAATTTGCCGGCATATAAAACTACATATTAACTAATCGAAGACAACATTGAAAATCATTTTTCAAAAACTGCTTTACAACAAAATAAACTATGTAAAATTATAACCCGAAGAAAATATTTCCACTAGAAAAAAAGTAACAGTAAAAATACACAGATTCACAATCACATTGATCGATGGACCC